GTTGTTGACACGCTAAGCTGTAAGAAATGGAGTATCATACGTAGATCTGGTGGTAGAAGCAACCGGAGAATCAAATGGGAAATCTGGTGGACACGAGAGTGAAATTTGCAAACAACATCGCACGACGGTTTGAACAGAACTCGGTGGTGACCACCGATGAAACCGAGTATCAGCTCTTTAAGAGCGGCATACTCGAGGCTTCCGTCGAATGCTACGGATTGAAGGTTGGCCTGCCGCTTGGAGGTCAGAAACGAACTTCCAGGTGAACATGAGAGGAGCAACTGGCAGTTAAGAAGAAGAGGACTGTATTCTAGAAATCGGTTGGAAGCAACGAGCCTTCAAATCGCATGCGATACATAGAAACTCGCAAGGCGGCAGTGAAAATAGTGGAGAAATCCAAGGTTGATAACTCTGAGAAGTTCGGTGAGGTGTTGAGTGGAATTTTCTGATGGCCAACAAGATATCCTTGCGGACCATCCGTCGGTTCCGACATGAACAGAAAAGCAGTCTAAGAGTCTTGAAGGACAGGTCTGGACGCTTTTTTACCAAGGATAATGATATTCTTCGGCGATGGAAAGAATACTTTGAGGAACTCCTTAACCCCGCGCAACCGCGGGAAGACTCGTCTGTAGAGCAGCAGGGAACGGATATTACTATCTGTGTAGATGAAATTACACAAGCTCTGAAAAACTGAAAGTGGAAAGGCTGCTGGAATTGATGTAATCCGTCCCGCAATGTTCAAAACATTATGAAAACATGACATATACTGGCTTACGCGTGTGTGCCAAACAGCAATGGCTACGGGGAAGACATTAGCGGACAGGAGAACTGAGGTTGTTGTATCCCTGTTCAGTAAGAGAGACCACAAGTAGTGCTCCAGTTAATGAGGCATTACCTTATTAGATCTCCAGGAGAAACTGCGCACAGGTGCTAGAAAGGATTTGTCGCCGAATCAGTGACTCCAGTATACAAGAAGAGTAATATGTCTTCTGCCCAGGTCGAAGCACCTCACAATGCATTCGCCCTACGCGAAGTTGTTGAGAAATCGTGGGAGTTCGCCCATGTAGTATACATGTTCTTTGTTGACCTAGGGAAAACCTATGACCGAATCCCGTGCGACAGTCTGTGGATTTGCGTTAGATGATATGGGATAATTGGCCAGGTGGCATGAGTCATCCAATCGTATGCTGGTATTAGGTGCTGCGTCAAAGTAAATGGCGTTATGTCGAAGCTATTGAACGTTGCCACTGGTCTGCGCCAAGGCTGCGTTGTGTTCGCTCTCGTGTGTTTGTTGTATATGGATACAAGAGTTAGGTATAGCCAAGGTGATGAGTATATCTTTGTAGGGAATGTCGAGTCGAGGTTTCTTTTTACAGGTAAATATATTTTATTGACCTCTTCTGATCTACAGCGCTCCTTGGAGGGGTTCACAGCCGAGGGGACGTGGCTGGCATGCGTTTGAACGCATCTAGAACGAAATGCCTCGTGCTT